TTAAGTGGAGAGGAGATGCTTTGAGAAGGACGAGGGCAATGAATGCACAAATGCGCTTTGCACAATTGATGTGTGTGTGGACTGTGTTAAGAGTTGTACGAGCCCCTAATGAAATAAAAATTTAAAAAGAGGACGGGATGGATGGACACAGTGGCTGTAGACGTGGGGACAGCACAGGATGGGGCAGTTTGTCACTGTCTTGTGTGCCACGCTGCTGTAAGTTGGACCTGACTCAAGGTCCCCAACAACGTCAACAACAACGTCAACATCAGCAACAACGGCTGAACGGCAGAGAGCCCTTTCCCACCGTCTTGAAGAGACCCTGAGCCGGGAAGCTCCGGCCCCCTCCGTCCTCCGTCGGTTCCGGGGTGGTCAGCCCAGTCCTTAAAATGACTCGTTAGTCAGTGCGAAGGAGCCCACTGGGCTGCTGGTCGAAACGTCAGCAGTTCAAATCCACCCGCCGCTCCTCCAGAGAAAGACCAGACCTCTGCCCCCGTGCAGACTGACCGCCTGCAAGACCCACGGGGCGGCTCTGCCCTGTCCTGCAGGGTGGCCGTGAGTTGGCATGGACTCTGGCCTGGGGTCACTGATGGCTGTGCTGATTGCAGACGATGGGGTCGTGGGCGGGCTGGGGGACGAGGGAGAAGCAGGTGTTTGCCCACCGGGGCGGCAATCCTGTAATAAGGTTAATGGAGGCTTCCAGAATGCCCCGTGCTGGGCTCCCGCTGGGCAGTGGGTTGGAGCAGCTGGCGGGCAGTGGCTTAGACACAGGAGGCACCGACGGAGCCCTGGACACACAGGAGTCCAGGACGGCCCGAGGCCCACAGCCCCAGTCCAGTGGGCGCCCAGAGATGGACCCTGCGGCGGCGGACAGTGGCTACACGCTCCTGAACCAGTACAGCCACGGCTTCATGGTGTCCCAGGTGGGGCTGGGGCTCTGGGACGGCCCTGGGTGGGCGGAAGGGGCAGCACCCACATTCCCTCCCTCGGGACTCACAGGTTTGGTGTCTGTCGTGGGGGGTCGGGGTGAGACTTAACAATGGCTGACCGGTGCCCTTTGGCTCTGCCTGCCTCAGGATGGCGGGATGGGGAACGTAGAGCTCTTCCTCCGAGAAATGCTTTGTCGTTGGGGACACGCGGGAGCAAGAAGAGGCTGCCTGCTGGGTGGCGGTGTGTCTGTCTGTCTGTCTATGTATCTATCTCTGGATGTCTATCTCTCTATGTATGAATCTATCTGTCTGTCTGTCTATCCATCATCTATCTGTCTGTCTGTCTATGTATCTCTCTATGTATGTATGTATCTGTCTGTCTGTCTGTC